TGAGTGAAACTGAATGACTCAGGAGACTTTCAAGAAGAAATCCTAAATATTGTAGGGCTTGGAAAGGAGAAAATCAAAGGACTTCTCTCGGCATGACAATAGGACGGTGAGTCAAGCCCTGCACATGTGTTTGACATTAAAATCCAGCATTCAGTCTGAGACCAACTTAACTGGTGGAAACGCATTGAAGCCGGTGAGGCTGAGGAGAAGCAGTTTGTATTTATAGAATTTGCTGAGCTGGCAAATTCTCACTCACCCAAGGCAGTCAGTGCAACATCTGTGGATTAGTATATACACCAACCATGCGCCTGAAACCTACAGATAAAACAACTGATTTCAGATAAAGGGATAAATGTAGCAAAGGTGGCCACTATCTCCCAGCATTGGTCGTATTTCTGACTCAACACTTCTTGTTGTTGTTTGCGTGGACAGCTATGATATGTATTTTTCCACGCAGGCTATAAGCCATCGATGAACGGAGTCCATCCACCAAGAATCCTACACTGCTTTTTTGTGTGTTATTCCAGTCCCAAAAAAACTCTTTCGAATCATCAGAGTACATGGAAGAAGGCTGTACAGCCTAGGTCACTGCTTGTGGGACTTTGGTAAAGCTTCCTATATCAAGGACTTCCATGCATCACAAGACTTCCTTGACAACAGTTTCCATTTCCTGAGGTAGTTCTGCTGTGACCTAATGCCATGTTTGTTCCAGGGTGGCCATGGACACTACTTTGATGCCCTCTGTTTTGAAGAGCTGTTGGTCCTCTGTTTGAAGGCATCTCATATTGTCCAGTGCAAATATCAGAACAACAGGAAACCTTGAATTTACCCATCAACAGTTTTTAGCATCTGAGCGTGCAGGTCTTTACCCCAGCTGGAGTGAGATATATTGTGATTCTATTTAAATGACATCAGTTATTTATAAATGTGCGTCCCTACGTATGAATTATCATTTGCAATTTTCATGCAAATCGGCGTCCTCCTTTTTTCACAACGCATAAGCCACCACCCTAGATTTTTCAACTTGCCAGTGAATGTCAAACTGGGTTTTCCAAGGAATCTGGGGACTCCTCTGGGAACTTCTCAGCAGACCCTCAAAGTTCATGAATGCCCAGATGAGCATAAAGACAACTTGCCCACAATTCCCCGCCCTCTTCTGTAATATGAAGCCATGCTCACATGGGGCAATGTTCAACATGCCTCAGAGTCCTCCACCATGCACATTTGTGTGCTCTGATTCAGAGCAGGGGTATGAGACCTTTGAGGAAGAAGACTCTGAAAGGGAGGAGGAAGAGGGGATGAGACAATGGAACAGAGACCTTTAGCAAAGCCCCTAACATGTTCAGACTGAAAACTGGGACGTGCATCTTCCCAGCCATGCTCCCACGAGTCACATGACCCATGCAAGATCACAGCGCTCAAAAACAGGATGTCCCAGTTTAGTCATTGCAGTTGCGGGTTATGCTCTAGATGACTTCTCCCGTGCCTCTAAAAGCACCGCTGATGAGGTGAGAAGGGGGGGTCACATGTTGACATAACTAACAGGATTGTTCACGTACCTAAGGGACCCCCTCTGCTGGTATGCCCCGCGGAGGACCTTAAGGTCCAGAAATGACAACATTTTGGAGATCCCAAATCGCAAGGTGGCTAGATTGGTCTCAACTAGGGCCAGGGCCTTTTCAGTACTGGCCCCGATTTGGTGGAATGCTCTGTCACAAGAGACTAGGGCCCTGCGGGACTTGACATCTTTCTGCAGGGCCTGCAAGACAGAGCCGTTCCGCCTGGCCTTTGATTTGGACTCAGTCTGACCCTTATGTTTCCCTCCCCTTATGGTTTTGATCTGTGGGCTACTTTTAAAATGAGGCTGCATTTTAACCTGTATTTTAAATTGGGTTGTTATTTTTTTCCTATTATGTTTTTAATGTAATTTTACTGGTGTTAGCCGCCCTGAGCCCAGCTCTGGCCAGGGAGGTTGGGGTATAAAATAATAAAAATTATTATTATTATTATTATTATTTTAACGGGTCTACTCAATTTGTTGTTCTAATTTATTTCCTGCCCTTCACCCTAAGGTCCTAAGTTGAATACGACCCTATGTTCCTATGACAAAGAGACTTACAGATTTGTGTTTCTTTTTTTAATGGATCTTCCTCCAAAAAAATAAATAAATCTTTTTTGTGATGCACTGCCCTGTCATCAACATCATCGCAGAATGCTGCCTTCAGCTTCATTTCTGTTTGATGGTTGCCTCGTGCCTGCTCTCGCAATACTTCCCCAAGACACAGTTTTATGACTCAAAGGCAATAATGTGTTCGCTTTTATAGTAACCTCTTTGACCACCTCCCTGGAGCAAGGAGGAGGCTGTTTCATAGCAGTAAGTATCTGCACCCAGTACAAGTGATCGTCATCTCTCCTGCAGTGGCCAAAGGAGCGACAGAGGATGGGGGAGGCAGAGGAGGCTTTTTTTGGGGGGGGGGTTCTTAGGGTGGAGGAAGGGAAGAGAGGGGAGAAACAGCAGGGGAGCAGTTATTTTTGCAGACAGCTGTAAGTTCAAGCCCTGCTGTTTCTACAAGGGCAAAATCACCAGGATGGGGATCAAAAGCATGAGAAGCAAGTGAAGGATATGTAGCCTTACTCCCGCATCTTGGATCGTGTTCGCAGCTGCCTCCCCGGGTCTGAAAACCGCATCCTGCGATCCCTAAACATTTAACGTGTCACAGGGTGAATCTCGTAACCTTTAGCAGCGTTTTAAATAACGCGCCCGGGGACGGTTTGGGTTGATGTTTTGATTCTCATATTCATTTTTATTGGGAAGAGAGCAAAAGTAGGTCACTGTCACACTAGTAAATGAATGAGCCGATTGGTAAAAGAAATCTATACTTTTCACTTGAGGGCAAGACAGGGTGATGATGGAATTGAGGAGAGCGAGATTGGATTAATTCTGCTGATGTGTCACGCCTGGCCATTATTCCTTATGCGGATCAATAGGAATGGGGCTGGGGAGTTTTTCTGAAGCACACGGTTACTTTCCGGGAGACAGGGAGCTGTCTAGGTGGCACAGATCAATTCCCAGAGTTCTGTTATCTTATTGCACGCCTCTACCTATGGGCCTGGGACCCGGGTGGCGCTGTGGGTTAAACCACTGAGCCTAGGACTTGGCAATCAGAAGGTTGGCAGTTCGAATCCCTGTGACGGGGTGAGCTCCCGCTGCTCAGTCCCTGCTCCTGCCCACCTAGCAGTTCAAAAGCATGTGAAAGTGCAAGTAGATAAATAGGTACCGCTCTGGCGGGAAGGTAAACGGCGTTTCCATGAGCTGCTCTGGTTCGCCAGAAGCGGCTTAGTCATGCTGGCCACATGACCCAGAAGCTGTACACCTGCTCCCTCGGCCAATAAAGCGAGATGAGCGCCACAACCCCAGAGTCGGGCATGACTGGACCTAATGGTCAGGGGTCCCTTTACCTTTACCTATAGGCCTCACTTTTCCCCTGAGAAGTGATCTTGTGACAGACTGGCGAATATGACAGGTTTGGATTCTCTCCTTTTTTCTCTTTCCCCCCGCCAATCTTAAATTCACTCCTCCACATTTCCAAAAAGGTTCTCGTGAAAATCCAGCTGTGTTTCTCAGCATTCGTCTGAATAGGCAAGTCTATGCTGTTTCCACTAATTTATATTCGTTCAACATGCACATTTTGCCCTGGTCAATGCGGCAGGCGCAATCTCCAAAAGCGCTGGAGAGGATGAGACTTAGGCGGCTGTGGGAAGGCGGAGACTTTCAGCCTCGGCAACTGATTTCATGGAGTAGGGCCCACAGGGAATGAGGTGCTGTGCTCATGGGGCCTGACGCTCAGCCAAGTCTGTGGAGATTGTGTTTTTGCTAATAAAGAGTTAACTGTGATTTACTGACAGTACTCTGTGACAACACCCTACGTTTAAAACACATTCATTCAACACACATGTAATAATAATAACAAAAACAACAATAACAATTATTATTATTATTATTATTATTATTATTATTATTATTATTTATTTGTACCCCGCCCATCTGGCTGGGTTTCCCCAGCCACTCTGGGCGGCTTCCAACAAAGATTAAAAATACATTAAAATGTCACACATTAAAAACTTCCCTGAACAGAGCTGCCTTCAGATGTCTTCTGAATGTCAGGTAGTTGTTTATCTCTTTGACATCTGATGGGAGGGCGTTCCACAGGGTGGGTGCCACTACTGAGAAGGCCCTCTGCCTGGTTCCCTGTAGCTTGCTTCTCACAATGAGGGAACTGCCAGAAGGCCCTCGGCCCTGGACCTCAGCGTCCGGGGAGAACGATAAGGGTGGAGACGCTCCTTCAGATATACTAGACCGAGGCTGTTTAGGGCTTTAAAGGTCAACACCAACACTTTGAATTGTGCTCAAAAAAGCACATGAGTTCCCCCAAAGAATGCTGGGAATTGTAGGTTCCCGCTCTCAGATCTACAATTCCCAGGGCATCTAGCAAACTACAGTTCCTAGAATTGTTTGGGAGAAAGCGGTGTTTTAAGTGTGCGTTGGGTGGGCTTTAAATGTACAGGGTAAATCTGTGCAAGCGAGCCTCCTGTGATTCTGTCCTGCTGTTGAGGAGTCTTCAGTAAGCTGCAGGAATCAGTTACTGTGCAACATATGAATGAAGAATGCTTCTCCATTTGCACAGATGCCAACGGAAAAGACCGGTCATATGCCTTGCCCCCCAAAGAGTAAATAATTAACCTTCTTCTCTTCGTACAAAGCCATCTCATGTGAAGCCAATGGGCTGTAGACAACACTGCACAGTGTACAAGGACTTCTCTGATATTCCACAGTCTTTGAAGTTTTGCTTCTTCTTCTCTCCCCCCCCCCCAGGTTTGTTTTGCTGCTCTCTGCTGCCCTCATGTGTTGTTTTGCCCTCAGAGCAGCTTGCCACAAACACTGTTTCATAGAATCATAGAATTGTAGAGTGAGAAGGGACCACAAAGATCATCTAGGAATCTTTTGCCCGTTGTGGGTTTCGAACCCAAGACCCTGAGATTAAGAGTCTCATGCTCTACCAACTGAGCTTTCCCAACAGTTGTTTATTTCATTTATATCCTACACTTCCTCCCAAAGGAGCCTGGGGTGGAGAAAACAAAAATGATAAAACAATAGTGTGTGTGTAAACATTGAAAAACAATTGCAAACTTTTAAAAAATACCAATATAAAAACATGTAAAATAATCACCTACCCTCACAGCGGATAATTACAAGGTTGCCAGAAACATTATCTTTCAGTCACCAAATGCCTGGATTAACAGGATTTCAACTATTTTGCTAAATAGTAAGCAGGAGCTAACTGAATTCACTGAGGAGCTGGTTGCAAATTGCAATAAGGTTTCTTTTTGCAAGATTCTGGATATTTGTTCTATATGTTTGGAGTCAGATGCGGAGCCATCCCAGGAATTGCCCAGTTTCCACTATGGAAGCGTGTAGGCCTTTCCTTGTTATTTCCATTTTTACGAGAAGAGTTGTGGTTTCTGTGCCTCTTGACGGCAGGAGAGATGACCGTGTAACAAGAAAACCATTCTGAATAAAAGGCAGGTGGATTTATTTAGATTTTGTACAATGGTCCTACTATTCTTAAAAGATGGAGCAGCTTCTCCCAGGCTGGAATCTGATTGCTTGCAAAATAAGCTAGTTTAGGCCGCCGCCACCCCAAAATCAGAAAGAGCTGCTCATTTTCTAAGCCATAGGAAGCTAAGTAAAGGTAAAGGGACCCCTGACCATTAGGTCCAGTCGTGGCCGACTCTGGGGTTGCGGTGCGCATGGAAACACGTTCACCTTCCCACCGGAGCAGTACCTATTTATCTACTTGCACTTTGATGTGCTTTCGAACTGCTGGGTTGGCAGGAGCAGGGACTGAGCAATGGGAGCTCACCCCGTCGTGGGGATTTGAACCACCGACCTTCTGATCGGCAAGTCCTAGGCTCTGTGGTTTAACCCACAGCGCCACCCGCGTCCCTCCATAGGAAACTAGCTTGTACCAAATCAGACCTTTGGCCTCGATTTGTAAAGCAGGAGTGGGGGACTTTTCCTTAAGCCCAAGGACTGCATTTCCTTGTGGATATAGTGCATGCACCAACCTCACCAGAGCCTCAACCTACACCCCTCCTGATAACCAATAGTGGCTCACCAGCTGGAAAGCTTGTGTAGATGCCTCCAGACGAAAATGCTGTCCGCTGCTGCTTGTGGGCATCCTTGCCCCCAAAGCATTCTGGGAGCTGTTGTCTGCTTAAGGGTGCTGAGAGTTGTTAAAATACCCCTATTCCTCTCCCAGAGCTATAATTCCCAGAGTTCCTTGGGAATAAGGATTGATTGTTAAACCACACTGGAAAGTGTAGCTCTGTGGGTCTCCTAGCAAATCTTAGTATCCTAAAAAACCAAAAACCCCTCAACTCCCAGAATCCTTTTTTTTGGGGGGGGGGAGCCATGACTGTTTAACGTGATATCATAGCAGTTTAAAGGTAAGGTTTCAAACCAGTCACAATCTTTCAGCTGCACCTACCTCACAAGGTTGTCGTGAAAATAAATAGTGCTATCAAATAAGGGCAGGGCAAAATTTAATAAAATAAATTTACATGCCCTGCTGTGCATGCCTGAGCTGCTCCTCTTTCACTCCTCCCCAAGAAGAAAATTGCAGCTACGTAGTGCAATGTACAATGGTACCTCAGTTTTTGAATGTAATTCATTCCGGAAGGCTGTTCGAGTTCCAAAACGTTCGAAAACCAAAAACTCAGTACGGAAGCCTCAATACAGAAAACTCAATACAGGAAACTTAATACAGAAGCCATGTGGCATGTTCAACTTCTGAGGCAAGTTTGAAAACCGAAGCATTTACTTTCAGGTTTGCAGCGTTCAAAAACCAACATGTTTGTCAACGGAGATGTTCAAAAGCCGAGGCACCATTGTACTCCGTAGTGGTTTTTGCTTGTCACTGGTAAAACCAGTGAGAGGTTATTTACAATAACCTCCTATACCCGTTCAAACATATTATCCTAGCAACCCTGCCAGCATTTGATGCAGCTGGGAAATGTGGCAATAAAGAAAAGCAAACATTAATATTAATTCAACAGGAAAAAAACAGCTAGGGCCTATTTATTTTGCAAATCTAGCATCTCGATCGTTGCAAGAAAATATGCTTTTAATATAAAGTTGGCAAACCAAATGGTGGGTTAATATAGCTGTGCAATCTACTTATTTAAAGCCCTTTTATTCATATTTACAACTTAATACGCATGATTCTGTTTAATGGAAATTTATGGGCAGCCCAGCGTGCTGCAGTTATGTGGGACAGATTGAAATCAATGAGAGTCGCAGGAGGAGAGTCTGGCGAGGTTTGGAATCTCAAACCGGCAAAGGAGGGAGCTTTTAAAAAACACGTTATCTCAGTAAGATACCACACTGTGAGCTACTTCTGGCATGTATGCTCATCCCTGGACTGCCAGCACCCAGTCAACAGCTTGAAGAGATCAACAAGACCCCACCAGTACCCAAGCTTCATTTTGCTAAGATGCAAAATTGGACCTTACCTGCACATACCAACACACACCTTCCCCGAGCCTCTCTTGTCACGATGAGGTCTTCAAGGATGTACAGTGGTACCTCTGGTTACAAACTTAATTCGTTCCAAAGGTCCGTTCTTAAGCTGAAACCGTTCTTATCCTGAGGCGCGCTTTCGCTAATGGCGCCTCCTGCTGCGTGCGCACCTCTGGCGCACGATTTCCGTTCGCGTCCTGGGGGCAAAGTTCGCAACCAGGAGCAGCTATTTCCTGGTTAGCAGAGTTCATAACCCAAAGCGTTCGTAACCAGAAGCGTTCGTAACCAGAGGTACCACTGTACTTCAAAATGTACCACTTCAACGCTCTCCATATTATGCAGCTGAAATGACTGGGAAAGCTTTACCACAATCGCGCATTCGCCAGTAAGCTGCAGGTGAGATCAGTGGCGTAGCGTGGTTTGTCAGCACCCGGGGCAAGGCAAGTAATTTGCGCCCCCTAACCCATGGATTTGCGCCCTCTAACCCGTGGATTTGCGCCCCCTAACCCTAACCCCCAGATGTTGCGCCCGGTGTGGCCGGCCCCCCCTGCACCCCCCACGCTACGCCACTGGGTGAGATTGCTGCAATGTGATCTATATGGGGCTGCGCTTGCAGCTGGCTCAAAAGGTGCAGCTTGTGAGAAAAGCAGCGGCTTGACTGCTCACCAGGGAAAAATATCGCCATCATATGCTGCTGTGAAAAGAACTACAGTTGGCTGCCAATTAGCTACCAAGCTAGGTTCAAGGAGCTGGCCTTATACATCTTTGGACCAGGACATCTGACAGATTGACTCACTCCCAGCCAACCACTAAGTTCTGCGGGAGAGGGCCTTTAGTGTGGTGGCACCCACCTTGCGGAACTCCCTCCCACTGCGTATCAAACAGGCGCCTTCTCTGTTGCCTGATAAAGACATTCTACTTTCAACAAAATCTTTATTCCCGTTGCTTTTGAATCATTGTTTTTACATCCAACTGAGATCTATCCATTCTGCATTGGCAAGAAATTGATCTTTTAGTGTAGCGGCGCCTTTGGAACTCCCTGCTTATTGATACCAGGCAGGTGCCTTCACTGTACTCTTTTCGGAACCTGCTAAAAACTTTTTTTTTTAGACAAAGCCTACCCAGAGATGTAGGATCTTGAGATGTGCTTTAATCTGTTTTTAGTTTATTGCTGAGCTCAATTTTTTTAAAAAAAAACCCTGATGATTTTATTGCCTTATTATTTTTGTAAACTGCTTGAGGGCTTTTTTTAAAAAAAAAACAATCAAGTGATTTATAAACTTTATGAAACAAATGAATAAGTTGTAAATTGCTTCAGGATGCCTCATGGGAAGCACTGCATAACTGAAATAATCGTAATTATTTGCCCGCAGGAGCAAACGGACTTTTAGAGGCCTGCGCTGTCTCTCTTCCTTCCTCCTGCTGAAATTAGGCTTAGTACCAGCGTTCTGTTATATTCAACAAAACTCAGCTGCAATGTGCGCGTGGTTGCAGTGTGATGTGTGGCCCATGGCAGTTTCTCTAATTTGTAAATCTGCCTGCAGGCCCAGAAAGGTTTGCATACCCTGCTATAATTTGGGGGGAAAGGCTACTCGAGGTTGTGGGTTTTGGGAAGAGCCAAGGCTGGAGCAATCACTTTCCCTTTTCTAAAACACAAACACACACATGCTATATCTCAAATAACAGCCCTGGATTCCAAAGCGTGTTAAGCAAAGCAAGGCTAATTTAATTTAAGGAGACAGCGAGGAAAATCTGAACAGCCACTTGGAATCAATAGATGTTGACAGAGTACAGTGTAACCAGAGCAAAGCCCAAGAATATCCCATCTAACCAATGTGAATCCTCGAGTTATTCTTTCTTTCTTAAACAGGATTAAGTTGGCTTATGCTGTCATGGCATTCTGCCTTCCAGGCCTCAGAAAAGGCATTTCTCTCTGGGACCGTGGCTGCACTGAGAGATGCACGCTCTGGCCTTGCTACCAGATTCTGCCTTCCAGGCCTCAGAAAAGGCATTTCTCTCTGGGACCGTGGCTGCACTGAGAGATGCACGCTCTGGCCTTGCTACCAGAACGACTCTGGGGTTGCTGCACTCATCTCGCTTTATTGGCCGAGGGAGCTGGTGTACAGCTTCCGGGTCATGTGGCCAGCATGACTAAGCCGCTTCTGGCGAACCAGAGCAGCGCACGGAAACGCCGTTTACCTTCCCGCTGGAGTGGTACCTATTTATCTACTTGCACTTTGACGTGCTTTCGAACTGCTAGGTTGGCAGGAGCAGGGACCAAGCAACGGGAGCTCACCCTGTCGCAGGGATTTGAACCACCGACCTTCTGATCGGCAAGCCTTAGGCTCTGTGGTTTAGACCACAGCACCACCCAATGGACTGCATGGCTGTTTTCCTACATAAGCTGAGTGGGACATAAGACCCATTGAATTCAGTAGGGGAATTACCCACCAAATAAGTGTGCAGCCACAATCTCCTGCTGTGGTCCTGATTTGG